TTGTGAAACTTAGGGCACTGAAGTGTACAAATTCAGCACTCTCATTGCACTTTGGGGGCTCTTATGGGGGAGTTTTTGTGTTGTGGGGTTTTGTTGGGTTTTTCCCTGCACACATGTAAAGTAACATTTTATTTTAATTCCCCCAAGTTGCCTTTTTCTTTCTCTCTCCTTTTTTACCCCCCTGTGGTTTTAATTACCTTAGATTTCAGAAAGTAACTGGTCCTGCTTTAAACTCCTCTTCCTGCACAAGCCCCTGTGGTTCACACCTGTGTTTTGGTGTTCGGCTGCCTGGAGAGGAATGGTTGCCTGTGGACTCGGGGATTTTGATGCTTTTACCTTTTTCAGCAACGTGGTGTTCTGAAAGTAACCTCACCTCTAATAAGCTGTTCATCCCCTAGACTGACTGAGGGGCTGGCATAAATCTGTGAGTGGAAATGTGACTTCTTAAAAACCCTTTTCCACTGTTCCTCTTGGGGTTCAGTTCCTCCTTTTTTTTCCTTCCTGTCTGCCTTGACAAGCAGGGAGGACCTAGTGCATTGTAGAATTGATTTCCAAGATGAGCTTTCAGTCTTGAGAGTTATTTTAAACTTAATTGTTAAAAGTCTTTGGAAATTAAAATTAAAAGTTTTTTTTTTGTTATTAGGTGAGCAAAACCACTTTTCCTCTCACTTTTTACATATCTGGTGCTTTTCTATGCCAAAGTGCTGATTATTAAAGACTTCATAAACAGTCTGGTGGTGTTGAAGTGTCAGAAGCACAACCAATAAACACAAGGCTCCTCTCACAACCTGCACTTACCTCTGTCCTCTGGAGAGCAAAGGATTCTCATCACTAAGTGGGCTCAGAGACACAGGCATTGCACAAACTCTTCTGGGTCTAATCGCTGAGGGTTGACTCCAGAGAACCATCCACTCCAGGCTGATTATCTCTTCTGCTGAGCCCCAACTACACTTCTTTCCCATCTCTGTCTGAAGAGCATGCAGAGCCAATAAAAGGAAGCTAAATGACACGCAAATGAGAGAAAAAAATATACTACTTTTGTTTTTCAATTAAGAAAAGACAACTCCCAAACAATGCTAGAGTTTCTCTGGCGCTGAGGCGCGTGCAATCGCCCTAAATGGGCAAAAAAAGCAAGTAGAATCTTCCTCAGCAACAATGGTTTAGCTTTTGGTTCTGGCTCTTCCAGAGCTGGAGCCAACTGGTAGATAATATTGGGGAAGATCTCCAAGTAACTCGCCCCGCCCCAATCTCCAGAAAGATGCAGCTTTTCCATTGTTTTTCTTCAGCTTTCTAGTTCCACATACCTAAGAAACATTGAAAACTCACTTGCAGACCAAAACCCTGCAGCACCCTTTATTACAACAACAACAACAACAATGTGAAGTCCAGTCTCAACTCTCAGCATCTGGCCTCAAAATTATGTTCAGCAAATGGATGAAAATGCAGCAGAAATACATCTGGCTGAGGTTGGTGCTCAGCCAAAACAGATGCATGAAAGACCTTCCATGAACATTATCCATGGTGTGCCACATTTGGATGGGTTGGTGTTGCCTGGCTGCCCTTGTCACAGCTGTATGATTTGGTTGGACAACTCTCTTTTGACACCTGGGATGGGGTGGGTTTGTCTCATTTTGTTGGGTCAAGCTGATCTTTTGAGTTTGGCATTTTTGTTTTCCCAGCAGGAGGTTTGGCTTGGAAAGGCTAGGAGCAAAGTTTTGAGGTGAATAGAACTGATTCGGATCAAATGCTGGTATTGTACAGCATGTTTTTTTCTTTTTTTCTTTTTTCTTTTTTTTTTTAAATGTTATTTTCTATCTTAAGACATACAACACAGACCCCTCTAATGCAAGCATGAAACGGGTTGCTTGAAGGAGGGAAGAGATGGTTTGAACTGTAAAGAATAAGCAGACAACATTGTCTTAAGCTTTGATGGTCAGAAACTATGAAATTCCTTTATCAAGAGCCAAAGAAAGTCTTGTGCAAGCCCCCAAGCATGTCTGACTTTACAAACTCTATCAGTTGGTCTAAAAAGATATCACGTCCTTGCTTCACTTGGCATGAATGAAGTGATTTATGGAAACTGGAGGAAAACATTCTTTACAATTCCCATTGGCAGGCCAGAGGAGAAAGGGATAAAATAAAACTTTATATAGCTGAGAGTCTAGCAGTGCTTATTTGAGCCCTCCCCTTGGTGGAATAAAACCTCCATGCTGAGGGTGACATCCTGCTTTGGTGCTTTAGGGGTTAAACCCTCTTCAGAGAGCATTAGTGGGGAGAAAGGAAACTGAAAGCTGTGCTGAAAAGCTAGTAGGTGAGACTGGGAGTTGCCTGATCTATTTTATCTTTTAAAAGGGCAAGCTCTGAATCAAGCTGTGTGAAGATCTAGTGAGATGTGAAAGCTTGACAGTCACACATACAGGAAATCTTGAATTATCACTGAGCTTCCTGGAAAATGACGTCGTGAGGCTATCGTAGTATTTACTTAGTGATGATCCCACAGTTCTTACTGACCAGCTTTGCAAATGTGTTCTGGAGCAGCACCTCAGTCTTGGGTGGAAATGGGCTCGGTTGGGTTTGTTGGAAACGCTTGGCAGCGTCACCTGGCAATGATGAATAGCTGAGCACAGGGAACGGAGCCTGGGCTGTTTTCTTTATCATGGGGGAAAAGGTTTGCTTTGTGCAGGGAATGTTTTTATACATTCCTGGCAGAGGCTGACAAACTTCAAACTCTTCTAGTCCCCAAGCCATTTAAAAATGTCTTCTTTAAATAGAGCATTGTGGAAGGAGCCCTGGTATGTCTTTAGGTCAGAGTCTGTCTTTTTTCAGGGGGAGGAGATAGCAGGAAGGGATGGAAAGCTGCTCATCTCCTCCTAACCCCTTGCTGCTTTTAAAACGTGCTGGAATTGGGCAGGGTTTTTAATTCTTGCTAGCCTGATCCTCCCTTTCTTGCTCTTTTCTGTCTGAAGTGAAAGGAAACATGTCTGCTGTGAGCACTGGAATAGCAAAGCCCCCCTCTTGCACCCCAAAGCCATGAGAGCAGCTCCAGAGGAGTCCATGGGAGTGACACCAGGGAGCAGAGAAAAGCCAGACTTCGGCAGTAGCGCTGAATTTCAGAGGTTTTGTTCACCCGAGATTCCAGGCGCTGGAATTGCTGGTAGCTGGCCAAGGAGCTTGGATGGCAGCCTACCTGTTCCTCAGCTCTGCTCAGCCTGCTCCCTCGCCCCGCCTTGCTTGTTTTAATTGCATAATATGCTAGAAAATTATCTGGATTTGGGGCTTATTTTTAACCAGAAGAGGCTCTCTTCACCCCATCTGGTTTTGGATTTACCACCCAGCAAATGTTTTTTGAAACTCTTGTAGCACTGAAATCCTGACTTCTTTAGCCCCCCCCTCTTCTGCTTTCCAAGGGTCTCTTTGCTCTTCAGTGTTTGTCAGTCATTTTTGGTGATGTTTAACTACATTGTCTGTCTGCTGAACTGGTGTGCGACCATCAAACTGTGTTAGACCTGCCTGGTGCAGTTGTTTTGCAGGCACTAATCCCACTGGGTGGATTGGGAATTGTACTCAAATAAAGAAGGCAAATTTTGTCTCTCAGATGATAGCTGCAAATTGTGAGACTGGTCAGGTCTGGGGTAAAAATCTATATGGCCATTGCAACTTCTTTCAGAATACCTGTGGCTAGAAAGCCTCTTCCACTCCTTTTTCTTTCTTTTTCTTTTTCTTTTTC